GTGTTTTTTTTCTTTTCGTTCTGTTTTTTAACTCATCAAACGCATTCAGTACTTGTTTGTGGCATACATGACACAATCCAGCTTCGATAGATTGTGATAGAAAAGAAAGCTATGTCCGAAATGTAGTTAAAAGATAATATTCGAGGAATGAAAGATGAATGATTCAGTACACTGAACAAACCGATAGCATAATACGTTTGAGAAAAATAGTTTCTAAAACTATTTGTAAAATTTAATCTCACATCGAAGTGTGAGTTGAAAATAAAACAGTCAACGCGAAATGCGGTACTGAAATGCGAGAAGTATCCGTTCAGTTAAACGATCTCTTATAATTTCACGTGAAAATAAAATGAAAGCACAGAATATCGTCTCAACCTTGAGTGATTTAGTTTCTCGTGAGTTATCCAATAAAGAGCCGTCTCCAGTACGTCACAGGAGCGGCAAATGGTTGAATATCTTGCCGATACAGTAAAACTTATGGTAAGCGGACAGAAGGTTGATTATGACGAAGAAACAACCATAGACTTTGCTGCATTTACAGACGAAGAAGATAGTGAGGAAGAAGAGCAGCATGAAGACGAAGAAATGGACGAGGACTGGACGAACAAAGCAATTCATCATAGATTTAGAACAATTCCAAACAGACATTATATTCCTCATTTCCGAAAATATCTTGAGCATCATGGAACTAAAAGACAAAAAGCACAAAATCTGGACGAGCTACTTTACACAAAGTTAATTGATGCATGAGAAAAAAGCCTGGCAGTTCACGATTTGGACATACAACAGTGGGGTTTACGGATAGCCAGAGAAATTAAGCTTGAGGAATTTCGTGCTTCTCATGGTTGGTTGGAAAATTTTAAAGCTCGCCGTAGGTTAGCCTCTCATAAAATTACAAACTTCGTTTCGTATCATCAGGTCGCAAATCGGGATGCTATAGAAAAATCGAAACAAGACTTTCTTAAAGAATATCATAAGATTTCGTCCCATTTTAAACCTTCTGAAACTCTTAACACAGATCAGACGGGTGTGGAAAAAGAATGGCACTCAAGTCGGACTATCATTTTCATTGGCGAAAAGAAAACCTTTGGTGCTGTGCAGTCGAAAAATGCCACGACACACTCCTGCACTTTACAACCAACTATTTCCCTAGACGGAAAACTTTTAGCAACTATTTATCTATGCTTACAAGAGCCAGGCGGTAAGTTGTGTATAATCTAAATCTCTTCAAAGTTCTCTCATTCGTTTTTTCGCTTAGTTAAGGCAAAATGGCAGAACAAGTGAAAAGAAACCTGTTTTAGCCGAAAAATGTTGTTATAACATGTTCTTCTTCAGGCAAACTCACAACGTCACTAGTTGAATATTGGAGAGATAACTGTTTTCTGCCACTGGTCGGCGCCAAATGTTTGTTACTCTCTGACAGTTACCCTGACCAAAGTCGAAACGAAACCTTTCAGCCTCAAAACTGCAGCGGCAAACAGATAACACGCTTGAAAATTCCGCAGAATACTACTGCCGATCTACAACCATTAGATTGTTATTTTAATAGGCAAATTAAAAACTTTCTGAAAGCTTGTTATCATCGTGTTGCACTGAACGAACTGGATATTCACTTGCACGAACGAAACAATATCATTAAATTGGTTAGTCTACCCCACAATCAATTAAGCGCACCTGTTTTTACTCCAATAATTAAGTATTCTTGGATAGCTAGCGGACTATCAAAAGAAGCTCCTTAAGATCTTAGTTTCTATTCAAATCAGTTTTTATCTATATTAAATAAATAAGTTTTCAAAACTTGTAAAACTATGTCACACTTTTCTAGACCTATATTTTTCCTTTTTTCTCCTGCAAGGTCAATTCGATAGTTAGCTAATATTATCGCACCATTTGATAGCTCGTGGTGTTCTCTAACAAACACCAAAGTATGGTCACTAAATAATAAAAAATCAATCGAGGAGAAATAATTAACGAGACACACCCTTATCCTGAATTTGAGACCGAAGTACTATAGTGTTTTCGTTCTCTCTTGTTTCAACTAGTATATATAATCATCTCTCCTCTAAATTCGACAGTCATATTAGCCTGATGATGACACTGTGAAGCATCGAAAGCTCGCTTTTTATTTAAAATGATTTTATAAAAATGTTTTTCAATTATATTAAATATACTTAGTTTTATAAAAAACGTAAAAAAGTCAAAGAATGTCAATATTTTCGCAGTAAAATGAACTTTTCTCAAAACGACAAAAGCTCTAAGTTGAAACTTAAGAAAATGTAACCCATCATAATGCGAAAACATGGTAAAAGGATGAAAGCTAAAGGTTGAATAGTTTCGAGATATCAAAAAAATATTTTTCAAAAACTCGCGGGGCATTTAGTGTGAAATAGCCATTTTTAAAATGTTCGCTCCTTTCTCACGAAAGACAAAGCTAAACTATTCTCTTCCCTAGTGAAACTTCTTGTAGCTAAGATCTTGACTTCTTGAATTTTTTCAGTAAGATCTTGATAAAAAATATAAGAATTCAAGAAGTCAAGATCTTGAACATCTTGTAATTTCCAAGATCTTGGAAATTCTTGAATCATCGTTTTGTTTTACACTGTTGTGTAAATATAAGTGCGAATATTTTCACACTTAGAATAACTTCGAAATTTTTTCCATCTTGACCATAGTTGTTTAAGGAAGAATCTACGACTTTGCACGGTCGTATATCCAGTGGCTACGATTGTCATAAACAAAAACCAAATGTAAAGAAAATTTCTCACTCAAGCTCTGGCAACATCTTGAGCAGATTCACTCAAGATCTTGAAATTTATGTTCCCAAGATATTGAGTGACAGATTCAGGAATCCAAGATCTCCAAACATCTTGGCTTACACCACTCAAGATCTTGAAATTTCTTAACACAAGATCTTGGGCACAAGAAGTTTCACTAGAGTTCTTTTTATCAAAATGTTGCTCTAGCTGCCAGCTATCTTTTCCATATTTTCGATCGGGTATAAGTTAGGTATAGACTGAGTTACATCGCGCTGATCCTCGCTGGACAAAAAAACACTGTTTAGTCTGCGACATCATTGTTAGTGTGAATTCACCTAGAAACTGTGGATGAATTAAGAATTCATTCACGTACCTTAAAAGTTTTGTATATCTACTACACTTAGTCACAAAGAGTAAGATGAGATAATGTTTCGTTTCAATAAAAAATTGATTCAAATTTTTCAACTTACTTAGCGAAATTCATTCTTATGGTCCGTAGTAACGCTCGCATTGGCTCCGCGAATGATTACGCGATCGAACACCTACGGTATTATATATAGTAAAATTTGATTGGTTCCGCTAGCCGTCAAAAACAGCAGTCATTTGACGGCTAGGAGAACTTTTCAAAAAGGCTAGCTGTCAGATCATAAACTATGTAGACAGGACAAACAGGCTCCCGAAATAAAGAGATTATATAAAGTGTATAATTAAAATAAAGTGTGAGTAAAAAGTTAAAAAAAAGTGTGAAAAGTTAAAGTGTTTAACATTCCCATGTCGCACTTTTTTTGTGATTACCGCCGGTTCACCGTGGTTCGAAAAACTACCGTCGCTAAACCGTACCACTCGGTGAAATGTGTGGTTTAGCGATGGTTATTTTGTATACCACGGTATGGCAAAATACCGAGCGGTAAACCGATTTTTACATTCACCAATTTATATTGCAGCAGCCATTACATATAAGCAACGCCAAAAATCGAAAAAAACTTGATTTATTTCGAGATAAAATTGTTTTTTATTAATTTTCAGACTCGTTGAAATTTAAATTTCGACTCGAGTCAAACTTTCTTCTACTTAAAGGAGCCATTCTGCGCTTCTAAGCGCTCGATAAAAATTTTAAAAAAATGAAAGTTCCAACCTCGTTTCGAACTCCTGTTCTATGTGTCTCCACTCCTTTATAATGCTTGGTCTTTTATACAAAATTCTATTTATTTACATGTAGCTGAAGTTTTCTTTTATGAGCATAAGGATGACTCATAAGATAACAAATTCAGTGTTTTCTTTTCTTTGATCTTATTTTTCTTGTTCCTCGTCGTTGTATATATGTGTGTAGTACGTTATTTTGCTTCAGATCAAAGAACAAAATAAGGAAAGGAAAAAATTTATATTTTCATCGAAATGTTCACGTACTGTATGTTCGAAAGAAGCAGTGCTCACTGCGAGTTTATCCTATATTCTACCAACTTCCCAGATTAAAAAGTTAACAAATTTGAAAATACCCCTCTCCAGTTTTTCTGGTAGTTTGAAGTACACAAGTTGTGCTCTATGCCGAGCTGTTTTTTAGAAAAAGGTACAGTCTACTTTTTGAGATACAGAACTGTCAATATCGCTGTCAATGCACCTTCTGTGTGCATATAGAAATAGATATAAAGCAAGAAACGACGAAAAGAACAAATTTTATGCTTTTATCCAAAAGGAAAATTGCACTCGTTATAAAATGAGTGTATATTTTGGCAAATTCTCATTAAAAAAAGTTAACAAGTTGGAAGGTATCCTTCTCCAGTTTATCTGCCGGTATGAACTACACAAGTTAAACTTTATGCCAAACTATTTTTTGGAAAAGGTCTCTTTTGGTTTTTTTTCTCATTCTATTCCTCAGACAGCGTCTAAGGAATAGAATGAGAAAAAAAGTTTAAGGATTTATCATTGAAAAGCGTGTACGTACAAAATACTTGATATTTTATTTCCCTCCTGATTAGGTGCAAAATTCAATAAGCCGTCTCCTTAATTAAAATTAAAAGATGTATCTCTGTATTCTCATACTTGGTTAATTAAAAAGAGTTTTATTTGGTGCATTAATGTTATAGTATCTTCAGTAGTTGACATTTTGCGAAACGAATCTTCAACTAAATCATTTGAAAACATAGAGAATAAACAAGTAGAGAAAAAAGAAGCAGAGATTTATTTTGAAAAAATGAATAAGCTGATATCTTTTCATGAGTTCTGAGCAGAAAGGTCTTCTAATTTAGAAAGTTTTTCCTATTGAAACTTCTTGTAACCAAGATTTCGACTTCTTGAATTTTTTCAGTAAGATCTTCATAAGAAAATGTAAGAATTCAAGAAATTTCAAGAAGTCAGCATCTTGTAGAGTGGCGCCGCCAGGATCTTTTTAAGGGAGGAGCCGACCATTTTTTCAGCCAAACTGACAAATTTTTATTTCTAAAAGCGTTATCTTTTCCTTCGGGAAGGATTAGAGTAAAAAGAAGACTGAACAAACACATGCCGCCGATAGCTGGTACTTGATTCTATTCTTTTCAGTGCAAGTTAACTTTCTAAGGGAGGGCCAGTGCCCCCTATGCCTCTCCTTGCCTACGCCACTGATCTTGTAATTTCTTGACTACTTGTTTACCGAGATCTTGAGCGGAAGATTTAAGAATCCAAGATCTTGAGTACAAGAAGTTCCACTAGGGTAGAGCTGTACTTGTCTTTAATAGGAACGTGAATTCAAATACATGTGTTATTCCAAAAAAAATCTTTTTTCTACTGACGAGACTTCCAGGAGCTAAAAAAATGAGACTTTTTGTTCTCATCAAAATCAGTATTTGATAAGAATATTCTACTTGTTCTGCATATTGAATAACAACAGTCCCCTAACGTCTTTCTTGTTAAAATCTTGACCTCAAAGAAAGCCAAGAAATATAGTTTTGAGCTCGTGAATTCTGCTTTTTTTGAGCAAGATATTAACTTCTTGAGCTTAGGAATATACAAACTTACAAG